TAGGTTTAAGATGTTCTTGAGTTAAGTACAAGTGGACATAAGTGACGGGACGGATAAGTGTGCGCCTGATGGTAAGCGACACGCCTGTCCATAGCAGTTATAGCGCCAGTTAGAGCTTCAAATCGCAAAGATCTGAGGACGCTGCCACTGCATCACCTTGAGACGTAAGTTGACAAGTGCCATGTGCTTGTAAATTCACCAGCATCCTAACCCTTCTAGACGAAGAAGACAGTACTTCCTTGGGCAAACTCTTTGACAAGGAGCTGTACTGCTACTAAATGGATGTAATTAAAAGATTAATTCATGGCAAAATAATTAATAAATAGAGAGAGAGAGGGATCACAAACTTAAAAGTCAAAAACTTATGTAGCAGAATGAATTTTAATAGCAGTAGAGCTACTAAAAATTCGTTCAATTTTAATGAATGTAATTATCAATAGCTGTCGCTGGCCTTCGCTCAAGGTATATTTCGCCATTAGGATGTCTTCAATTTTATTACAACTTTCACAATTCGGTGAAACATCTTTTTTCATGAGATATCCAAACTTGTTCGACGTATAATGTCCGGTTATATCTGTACGAACTTGAAACTTTTTATCAAAGAATAATTGCGTATGTATATCTTATCTATATACACAAGAATTCCTGTAATTCTTACTATGAAGTAAATAGTGACATAACCCGTAGTTACATGAATTATTTTGAAATATCTTACTAAAATTTCTGTAACTTCCATACCTACAAATTCACTTGAGCTGTGTGTTGATTTTGATATTCAAGATGTTATTTTTGTTAATTCAGCTGGCAAAGTATAGTATTCCATTCAAAGATCGAACAAAAAGAAAAATTGTTTCGACCAGACAGATGTCGCTTACAGCGTCGAAAGCAAAGATATATGTGACAAACACAGAAGAATTTCGTGGCCTTGGTAATTCGACCTGCAATTCAGTTGTAAGAGCGACGGGGATGGAAACCCGTGGTCGAATCCGGATTGTAGGAATTTTTATAAGTGTTCGATCTTTGTATTATTAATTATTTTTATTTATTTTATCTTTAATTCAGGCAACGGGGTCCATAAATTGATTAGTAACAGTTTTCTTAGTGGCTATGTTGGTAAAAAGAAAAGCAGAAACATGAACAGAAATAATACTAATACTAATATTTAATGGTGTTTGTCAGGAAATTCTTTTCGTTACAAACACCTTTTGCTAACAAGCACATGACGGAAATTATAACAGACTAGTGGAATAATTTCGTACATAATATTCGAATAATAGATCTTTCAATTGAGAACTAACATGCTCCCATTGCACTACCACCGCCATTTTTGGGTGTAATTCTACTCATCAATGGAGAAATTGCACTACCAGAACCCTTCTCAAATACCAAAAAATAATGCTGTTTTATCTATTGCTGAATATAGACTTCACTCGGTCCCTCGCTACCCTGAGCCACTATATTCCCGCTGTAAATGCATTATCGTCCTATAATAAGACGCTGATGGTCTATGTAACTGCAAAACCTAATAGTTTAACTAATGGGATATTATTAACGGCGCATCCAGCGTCTATGGATGACCAGCAAATTGACTGGCAACATAAATAGGTTTTTTTTTAATTGAACAAGTCGTGCGCATGATGGTAAGTTACACGCCTGTCCATAACAGTTGCAGTGTCACTCAGAGCTTTAAATCGCAAAAATCTGAGGGGCACAGCCACTGCGCCCGTCACCCTGAGACATAAATTGACAACTCCCGTGTGCCTGTAATTTCACCTAAACCGGAACGCAGTAATGCTAAAATTACTGCTTGGCGGCAGAAATAGGTAAGGTGGCATTACTTTCCTGGACGAAATCTTTGAAAAGGAGCTCTACTGCTGCTAAGGGACTGTAGACTGGCTAGACTGACAGAAATCTGTCGTACTGGGAAGACGATTTCCCCTGAACGTTTACGATTATACAGGCAGACCGAACAATTAGTAAAAGAAAACTACGATTGTTTCAGCGGCGGGAGCTAACTTAGACATGGGAAGTGAGCACTATTGCCTAAGGTGGAACAATCATCAGAGCAACCTGCTGGGAGTATTCAGCCAGTTGCTGCACGACGAGAGCCTCGTGGACGTCACGCTTGCCTGCTCCGAAGGTGCCTCCATTAGAGCTCACAAGGTATAATGTGAATTGTTAATACTAACCATTGACCGTTATACTTATTAATTATTAATAAATTAACTACCCGCGTAAGTGAAGGCGTTATTTATGCCACCAATGTACTATAAACCGAATATGTACTTACCTATGGTCATTACAGTACGTACCAGTCAACACACTCGTAATTTCGAATTGAGTAACTAGGAAGCTAGCAAATAGCAAGCAATGACGTATTTGTTTAAATTGTGTGGATATCTATTCGCATTATTATATATGTATGTATAAGCCTCGGGCTTCCCCAACAGGCAGTAAGTAATACAAGAACTATATATATATATATAGTATAACAAAAAATACTTACTGATTTGTCGTGCGCATACTTTATCTTATGTATTTTACCTGTATGTAGGTAACTGCACAAAGTTCTTGAGTAAGTACTTTTTATTGTTTTATGCTACCAGTGCCCCAATTATGCTAATTTATTTAAACAACTGGTCAATGTAAATTCCATTGAGACTTCACTGATATTACATTGCAATTATGATAATATTTGTTATTCTGCTAAAATCTAATTGCAATGGCAGTTGAGACTCAATTGAGTGGCAGTGGAATGGCAGTGATTAGAGATGGAAAAAAACTGCTTATAAATTTCAAAAAAACGGGCACTTAAAAGGCTTCTTAGTTTGAAGCTTATAAAATAGTTTAAAGAAACGTTTTAAAGCCTGTTAAAACAGTAAGTAGGTAAGAAATAACACTTAATGATTAAAAAAGCTCGCCACATTATGTTGACAAAGAAAAGCGAGAGTAGGTCAGTAAAGCTTTTCAGTCAGTTTATTTGTAAAACACAAGTTTAATTTTTATTTATAATATTATTATTCACATTGACGAATTAATTTGTTTAGGAAACATAAATAACGGAAGTTGACACTTAAGCACGTCGTAAAAAATAAAATTGTTGTACATTAAAAAGCAAACTTTAAAAAAAATTTTCATTTAAGCGCTCTTCTCTAGCGGTGATGGCATTCATTCATTCTATCACTGACATATGTTGCCTTACTAAAACTGTCATGGAAATATGCATATCTTAATTTTTATCTCGTTTATACAACAATGTAGTCTTAAAATGATTTTTTTATGTCAAATAATTAGTTGATTACGCCATCGTGCCACCGACTCGCCACTTAAGAGCAGAATACCAAAAAATTACAATGGCAGTTGAATAGTAACTCAGTGACTAGCCTCTGACAAGCGACTTGTCTTAACTTTTAGCAGAATATCAAACGTATAAAATCCTGTCATCGGTACTTTTACGACACACAACCGAGATGATTTAATACGCCGTTTTGACAATTTGGGGCCAATATTGCCGATAGGTTGCGCCATCGAGTATATAACCAGAAATAGAGACGAAATAATGACCATAAATTCCTGGTAACACATTAGCGATACAGCTCTTATAAAGAACAGCTCTCGTTTGCACTGAAATATAGACAGGCCAACTACTGACCTGTGCGTACGTCTCCGTATATTCCAAAAAATATTCTGTATTTATTGTAATAAAGATAATATGCTGTTCTATTTGGTGGTGTGGGAAAAACAGCAAAACATCTAATTACAAACGACGAAATCAAATTTCATCGGTAATTAAATATGTAATTAACATTGTTGTTGTGTGTTAAAAGTGTTGTTAAAATTTTTTAACAATTTTCGTCTATTATAGCAAAGCTCAAGTTAACTGGTCGATTTTGAAGTGAAACAGTTGAAGACACCCATTGATGACACCCGTCAATTGTTTCGAACTCGGGCTAGCCAATCGGAGCGCAGTTGTCACAGTAATGATATGGCAGAATAGTTTTCAAACAAATTAAATGACATTTCGCCTCTACTTCTGGTTATATACTCGATGGGTTGCCCTAACGGCATTCAAATATCTTATCTCCTTATTAGTAACTATGTAAAAGATACGGAAGAGGGTTTCTCGAGTAGGTACCTACTGCTGTGAAAGTCGCAGTTTGTGACCAACTCTTAGAGTAATGGTTTAATTTGATAGAATGTCTGTACATTTCCGACACTAATTTCAAATTTAAATTTCAAAACACATAAATATTGTTGCTTTGAGAATGTGCAGCGTCTTACATTCCACTCTGAATACACTGATTACAAGTAGGATGGTCTTGTCCCTAGTGCGCTATAGAATGCAGGCACCTCAGGATCATACCAGTTAAAGGGTAATATTATACAAGGAGGCCTTTAATTATTATATATTATAATTATGATATCTTCTCGCTGGTAATGATAATAAATATAGTTAACATATCGAGTTCTTAAGGTGTTGCGATTGCTGCACATTGAAAATGAAACTATGTTTGTTTTCAGATCTAAATCGCATAATTTTGTTATTCAAACAAACCAACGTTGCGTGCGCTTTACAGGTCCCATGGTTACAGCTGACTGAGATGGTCAAGTCATCAACCAGTTATGTCTAATATTAATGCAAACCATCTTATTTCGAAGTATAGTTACAAAGCTAATGCCAAGCAACCACATTAATAAAAAAAAAAAAAAAAAATAGTTTATTCTTCAATACCTTCAACAATACAACGGTACCTAAAAAACTTTAAATATTGGCTTAAAATAAATGACTGTGATGAAAAAAAGGTAACAACAGCTTCAGCAATTTGCTGGTTTTCAGGCTTCACGTTGTATATAATGTCTGTTTGTAAATCTTGCCTGGTTTCAAACTAAATTCCCTGTACTATGAGTATCAGAGTAACGGAATTCTGGGACAATTCCAAGAACACCAGATTAGTCCTATCAGGAATCGAACCCAGGACTATAATCCGTTAGGCCACCGAGGTCGTCGAATTTACCAAAGAACATTCCAATTTACGCTACATACGTTTTGTAAAATATTTTTTTAATCATATGACGCTTTACTAAATGGAATTAATAAAGGAAATCAGTGAGTCATGTATCTATGGTCATGACCATTGGTTCTATAATAAAGGACCCGAAACATTGGCTTGCTTGAAAAAACAAGTGTACGTGATTTAGATACGAAAAAAAAACCGATACCCCCACGTAAGTTGTCGTAAGGCACAAAATAGCATTTTGTATGTTTTAAGTTAAATGTACCATTTTGTATGTATATTATCGGTTCCGTATTTAAAAGTAAACAAATGACTTAGGGTCGTATTCCAGAACTCTACTCAATACTCAAGTCAGGACATGAGTATTGCAGTGAGCACTGAAAATCATACTCAAGTCCTTGCCATTAGGGTCGTATTTCCACTTCAAATCGTCTGCTCAAATCCTGACTTGAGCGTTGAGTAGAATTCTGGAATACGACTCTAAGTGTTGTTTATATTGAAACAAGGTACAATAACCTACAATACACATAAACAAGGATATGTTTATACCTACCTACAATATACGTAAAAAAAGGATATGTTTATGATAAAAAGTAAAAAAAAAAGCTATTTTGTTTAATTATAACAACTTACGTGCGAGGTATCGAAATGGTTTTATTTCCAAAATTTAGTTAACTTTGAAATAATATGAACTGTATTAAAAATTCCAGGTTGTCCTGTCTGCGTGCTCATCTTACTTTCGCTCGCTATTCGTGGACCATCCCTCGCGTCACCCTATCGTGATCCTCAAGGACGTGCGCTTGGAGGAGCTCAGGACGCTTGTCGACTTCATGTACAAGGGCGAGGTCAACGTCCAGTACTGCCAACTGCCTGCACTCCTCAAAACTGCTGAGAGTCTTCAAGTGAGTTTACTGATTAGACGTTGTACATAACAATAGTTATTTATTGCATGTCTACAACCAAAAAGATAAACAAATAAGTATCTAAACGTCAATAGACAGTCTAACTCAATGGAAAAACGGTTGCTTCACTATTGAGAAATCTACGTCTTTGACGAATTCCTATGGCCATACATGACTTTAATTTCAGAGTTACGTTCATTTGTGTTTTTTTCTATAATATCAAGTGATGGGACGAACAAGTTGTGTGCTTCATGGTAAGCTACACGCCTGCCTATAACAGTTGCAGTGCCACTCAGAGCTTTAAATCGCAAAGATCTGAGAGGCACTGCCACTGCGTCTGTCACCTTGAGACATAAGTCGACAAGTCCCATGTGCCTGTAACTTCGCCAGCACCTTCAAAACCGGAACGCAGTTCTGCTGACATTACTGCTTGGCGGCAGAAATAGGCAAGGTGGCTGTACTACCCTGGACTAACTCTTTCACAAGGAGTTCTACTGCCTAAATTTAGACTTAGAATATTTAATAGCAATAACGCTAACGATGAATGAAAACATGATGAAACCTGCGCTTCGAAAGAAGCTTCACAGCCCTTTGGTAATGTTTGGAGTTCTTAACCCAGTGTGCCGGGCAAGGCCTCAACCAGAGGGTTGAGATCATCAGCTCATAGGAGACCCATACCTGACAGTTGCACGTATGTAGAAAGGACGAAAGAGCCATTTCAAAAAGTTGTTCAGTAGAGGATGATTCCGGTTGTAACGACTGTTTTAAAATGTTAACGTCCGATTTTAAAATGCAATTTTGGTTTTGATTAAGTTTAAACAGGACGTAAATATTTTAGAACAGTCGTGAAAAATTAAAACATGATCCCTTGAAAACTTTTCCGAAAGGTCGATTTCACCCTTTCTACAAAACACCGACGATGTATAGGCAGCTAGTAGCAACTAAGTTGTAATTACATTGCTAGTTATCTTGTTAACTCCACATTTATAATACATACGGTTAACACTGTAACAATTTAAGTTAGTAGAATATTAATATTGATGAGTGTTTTGCCGATAGGTTAAAGGACTAGCTGAGATGACGACGCTAAGCGCTGCGGGGATCGACTCAAGGAACGTCTCAGAACCAATGGAAGAGTGCCAACCACAGGACACCAGAGAGTGTCCAGAGGCACACGATCGACTAGAAGGCAGAGAGAATCGGGAAGTAGACGACAGACAGTCGAAGGATGTACGTGATAGAGAAAATAAAGATCGCGAAAGAGAAAGCCACTCACGCGACTCCCGTGACTCGCGGGACATGCACAGGGAACAAAGAGAACCTCGAGACTTGAGAGAACCTCGTGATCTTCGAGAGAGTAGGGAGTCGAGGGAGCATCGCGAGCATAGAGAATCCCGAGACATTGGAGATCATAGAGAGTCACATTCCAGAGACTTACGTGATCGTGACCCACGAGAAATGCATGAGCCTCGTGATTTGAGGGACACTCGCGAAAGCCGCGATCTAAGAGAGCCACCGGAGGCCTCTCCGCCGAGAATATCTCCCTTGCTTTCAGTACGACGGTTTAGAACAGAAACCTCAACTGAAATTTCAACACCTACGCATCCCACTATCCCGAAAGAAGAACCTCCTGACGAACCTATGCGGCCATCGTCACCCGAAGACGACGTAGTTTCAATACGATCGAATGGAGCCCAAAATGATATTGGTAAGGCTTTCATATATTTGTGAAAGTCCAATTTAGGCGAAAACTCTTTAATTTATACACACACACTGGTACATTTAGCGGAACAAAACAGTAAGGTAACATAGATATAACTGTAAATAATAATAATAACGCTCACACTCAACATAGCCGCGCACTGGGAAAACCCTGTGTCGCGGGTGCCATGGACACATACATAGACAACCACAAATTACACCCAAACTCACGAGAGAAATAAATGTAGGCCATACAAATATTTCTCCCGACCCGGGAATCGAACCTGAGACCTCTGCGTGGCAGTCTGGCATGGTAACCGTTCGGCCAGAGGCAGTTATAATATACTAACTATAGATATTACAGTTAACCGACTTCAAAAGTTCGTGGAATTACATCTATTTGCCAAGTTTTAATGAAATCGGTTACCGGATCGCGAAACCGGACTTATGCCCTAATTTGCTACCCTTAGAGGTGGAATATTTTCTTCAAATTTAAATGGCATCAATATTGAAGTACAGCATCAAGAGCACGACAAGCTTGACACTTAAGATTTAAATCCAACTCTATGCCGCTTACGATAAGAACGGTCCAAAGTACAAAGTGTCAAGCTTGAAGTGCTTTTTGACTATACCCTCTTTCCAACAAAAAAAAATCATCAAAACGGTTCACAATTAAATCCCGGAGTAATTACGTAACATACACATAAAAAAACAGTCGAATTAAGAACCTCCTCCTTTTTTAAAGTCGATTAAAAATAGTAACGTTTAAATAAGTAAGAATTAAACACGAAGTATCCATTAAATGAATTAGCACAGTCTTACTCAAACTGTATGGGAAAAAATCAAAATGAAATCTAAAGCATTATTTTATTTTATTTTATGACAAGCAGGAACAGCTGGTTGAGTACCGTCAACCGTGACCATGGGACCTGTAAAGGGCCCGAAACGTCGGTTTGTTTGAAAAAACAAATATACGCGATTTAAATCCGGAAAAATAGTTTCATTTCCTAAAAAATACTTTTTCAACCAAAGTTTATGTAATTATAATGACAATGCAAAATAAATCTCAAACGACTCCACAATCCAGTGCTAATATGAAATGAATAAGAAAGTGACAGACGACATTTTTTTTATTTTCAAATTAGACTTAAAAAAATATCCGACCAAAAAAAAACACTGCCGGTTTTACTAGTGATAAGTTCAATGTGTACGTGTGCTTATTTATTTAATTTTGCATTTATTATACATGGATATTATGCATAGAATTTGAATGCGTAGTTATAAGATTAGCGATAATGATTTATTGTTTAAATAAAAAACATTTTTCTCGAAACTTTTGTTGAAGGCTTTTACGATTTTTTTGTAGTATAAATTATATAAATGAAGCATGAAGGGACGGATATGATCCAGCCACCGTCTTTTTTTTCTGTTGACTTAGAAATTAGAGCGACATGTTCCACAAAATTACGTAAATAGCATCGCATAATATATATCAAACGACATTGTTAATAACGACAGGAATTTGCGCCGTAAGTCAAGTCATGTTTTGTGTGGATATGGCTCCGTCGTCGTTGAATTTGCGCCGTATTCTTCTTTCAGTAACTCTTAAGTGTCAATGTCATTGTCAATGTCAAAATGATGATAACCGGATTGTTACTGTCAAAAACTGCTGAAACTATTACTTAGATCATATTTTTGTTGGTTTTTTGTAATGAATTCTATTGTATACGTAGTTTATCTAACTAGATATATGAACATGAATTGTATTAAATTCGAATCACTGCTATATAGAACAAAACCTCCCGACAAAGTACGTGATATATTGTTAAGTTTTTTGCCGTTTAGTCGACTGAAATCTTACATAATTTCAATAAATTTGCGCTTAATTACAAGACAGAATGTTGTCCTTGTATGAATTACCTATCTGGACAACATCTTAAACTCCCGCGCTTTACACACTACAAAGGAAGTTGCGGAAAGCCGCAAGTGCTAGTTTTTGGCTGCCTTACTGTAGTTCAGAGGATGTGTAGTAACGTGTCAGACTTAATCGAAACTGTTTTTCTCTAATTCCAGGAATCAACATGACGATAAACAGCCACGGTGGCGTCCTAATGCGGTATTCGCCTGTGCCGGTCGACCAGAGGCTGAGCGTACTCAACGCCATTCCTCACCCCGCCTTGGTACATCCTTCACATCCTTCGTTGCCGAGTCCCAGAAATGAGCCTATTGCCGGCCCGTCAGGCTTGCCTCCTGTTCAGCAAGTTCCTTTGGTAATTACTTTGTGACATTTTCCCTATCAATGTCTATATGGTATCTATCTTCATCTTCTTATCATATTGATGGCATACACTATAATGATTGCCATCATGGTGAAAAGTTTTGCCTATCAACATCAGGTGCTCTCTGATTGTTGTCCAGGGTGTGCCAGACGCACACGAAAGGAAGGACATCGTGTGGAAAGGCTCCTTCCGTGCACCCTAATGATATCTATCACTTGATTAGGCCAATATACATTATTTTAAGGATGCATTACTCTTACTTAGATCTCTCAATGAACAGGATCACCACAGTGTAAACAATTGGAGTTGCTAACTTCATATTGCAACTGTACCAATCATGCATTAACATTAATTTAAAGAATAGAACTATTACTGTAATTTGGTCATCTGTGTCCTTTGAGTTATTTGCAATTTATTTTAAGTAATGAAATGCACTGTAGCTCAAAAACCTGTGTCTTTTTGTGTAGTTTAGCAAGGAAAAAAGTATATTATGAATGTAGCTTCTTGACTACAGATAAATTACAGCATATGAGTATTTGCAAAGCACTCTTAGAGAAATATTTTTTACACAACTCTGTAGTAACAATACAATCCTTTTTATTGTAAAACTAACTACTGCATTTGCTTTATTTGTCAATTAATGTGTGTTTTAGTCTCTGAAGAAAGAGGTGGATTGGGACCGCAATGATGATAAGGCCGGTGAATCGTCTTCTGATTACCGACTGCATGAATCTGTAAGTATAGCTTATAATATTGGTGTTAAATGTTGTCGTAGATACTATTAACTTAATCACAATATTTGATGTTAATAACATGGATGGACATTCCTTATAAAAAACGTAATACTCATGTTGAATAATACATGAAATTTGTGATTATAAAAAATATTCAATGAATATCACACCTAAGTTTTTAGTTTTGATATTCAGTACAGATATAAGCTCCTTTTAATTCTATTGTAACCTAAAAACAATATCTGATAATTAATTCAATGAAAAATTATAGAATTATAAAGAGCTTTGTCATTTGCATGCTATATAATTGATGTATAAATGTTTGATTTTCATTATACAGGAGTTTATGTCGTTGGTGTTAGTATTTTTAAAGTTCTTTAGAGCTTTTTGTATGTATTTTGACATTTATCTGTACCTCATTAAACCGGCGAATTTAATCAAGACATTGAAATAATGCATGTTGGTGAGGGCTAAGGATAATACATGTATGATAAAAGAATTACATAAGATAAGACTGAATGAGTTGTTGCTAACTTCGTTATCTTGCATATGGATTAAAAGTGACTCAGTAACTGGGTCACAATCCTGAAAATAACATTTTAAAGAACAAATTTGTTTTACAATTTCTTTAGTTGTACTTGTTAAATTCTTGTGTGTTGGTTGCACAATGTGTTATAGTTGTCTTAGAAAAAGCGTCAAATTGTTTCACTAGACATTGGTGTTGTATGTTACAACTGCATGCTTGTTTGATATGCTGCGCTATTTTAAACATCGAGTACTATGCCTTGCTGTCAAGAAGTTGACCTTCATTTTGTTGGCCATCATTTTTTATATCCATTCATTTTGTTTGATATATATTTGGGCAGTATTTTATTTAAACTTTGGCCATATACCTGCATACGTTATAGTACGAATCTGTGATAGAGTGCGCGCGCGCGTTGCTATACAACAAGGCATTACGCGTAGCCGGTTCCCGGGTCACTCCTGCACATTGATTGGGCAAAAATGAGCGTCAACTTCTTACTTAGATAGTGGAAAAATAAAGATATACTGAGATTGCATCTCAATTTAGACAGTAGTGGTAGACATATTGCACACAGTTTGATTCGTTTGGAACAAGAGAAAAAAGAAGTTGATGTTCTTTTTGTGGTTGCAGGAGTACGAAGGGTCCGGTAGGGTGCGTATTGAGGAAGGGGAGAGAGGATATTTTTGCATACACTGCGGCGCGGCGTTTCCACATCAGAACAAACTGACCAGGCACATATTGACGACACATACCCTGGACACGTTGAAATACCGGGATGCAATTTTAGGGAGACCCATGGGGTTACCTTTAATTGGACAGTTCAACGAACCGCATTACATGAGCATGCCCGCCGAAGAGCCACCAATAGATTTGGACATTGGACCTGTGGAACCAGGAAATGTGGTGCTGTGTAAATTTTGTGGCAAGAGTTTTCCAGATGTGTCGTCGTTAATTGCCCATTTGCCGGTACACACTGGCGACAGACCATTTAAGTGTGAATTTTGTGGAAAGGCGTTTAAATTAAGACATCATATGAAGGACCATTGTAGAGTACATACAGGTAAGTCTATAATTTATTATATTTTCAATTGTTTCTAAAATGAAATTGTTTATTTTAACATTGGGAGGTCCATTTTAATTCCGAATAGTACTTGTTAACTTGTCATTACTACTGTTTAAAATTTGTTTTTTTTTGTATTGACAATCGTATTCGTATTGCAGGCGAACGGCCGTTTAAATGTGTTCTGTGTGGCAAGACGTTCTCCCGATCGACAATACTGAAGGCGCATGAGAAGACGCACTACCCGAAGTACGCTCGGAAGTTCCTGTCACCGAGTCCTGTCGACACGGAGGAAGAAAGCCCGCACCAATGAGTATTGTACGGATATAGTGCACAATTAGCCTATGAAATTTTTTTAGCCAATAATGTGTCCTATTATTGGAATAGTCAATGTTGAGCGAGAAGTGATAGTCGAATGAACAAACGGAGGACAATATGTTGTAATTAGGTAAGAATGTGATTAAAACGCCGCAACTGTGATCTGAATGATATGAATAATATTTGATATTTCACTAATAGATAATTGACAAACAAAAGGTGTTAATTCTATATAAGTGAGGATGAACACTTAGATTCTTTTTCTCTTTCGTTTGCTTTTTTTATCTTAAAATTTTCAACATTAGGTGCTTTGTTTACGCTTTAGACTGTAATGAAATTCTCATTTACTAATGAGCCTCTAGACGGCATAGCCAAAGTTTAGCTTAAGAAGTGAAACTTCTGTTTGTGTTCATTGATTGCTGCGTATTCTTAAAAGTAACATTTCCCACGCACTTTGCTTTCATGCAATACTTTGATTATGAAAAAGTGTTTTTGTCGCTAAGAGCTCACATTTTTTGTGGACACTTCAAAGTATTCAGACGCTAAATAATAAAATGTAAAATATCATATTAATTTACAGCTGACATAATATTTTAGAACTTGCGTATTTATTGTAGTTCATCTCTCAGAGTTGATTTTAAACCAATTTTAAAGATTGATAATGAGTGCTTTAATTACATATTATTAGAGACCATACTAATGCACTCAATAGTTGGTAATAATTAAAGAAAAAAGTTAGCGATTTGAGATTTTTACTGATTTTATGTCTTTCGTGGTTATTGACGCACGCTCCCCTGATATGATACAAAAAGCAATAACGATATATAATGTAAATAATATAGTTTGGTAATGTCGAATTTTTAGAAAATGTATTAGTCTTAATGCTTTCTAGCTCTGTACTGGGTTACATGGGGAGGGTTGTGGATGTGTGATCTTGGGAATCAAAGCTTTAAACCATGTTTCAGTTTTAACCAATATCTATGCCTCTTTTTCCTGCCCCATAATTATCCGACATTGTTTTATACGAATACATATTATTGTAAATTAATCATTCAGTGATTTATAATCTTGTTAATTATATGCTTAAAGTAACATAACAGAGACAATATTAGGTACATATCTACCAATTTTATTTTTGTTGGAAGAAAGAGGCATGGCAGTGTAATAAAATATACATAAACTTTTCTACCTATTTTCATACTACAGATTCATTTATTAAGGTTGGGTGTTTCAGATGCTTTGTTAAAGTTTATCAGTACATAAAAATAAAAAAGCCAAATTTTGATTGAATTTGAAATATCACGAGCTTACAGGCAAAGCATTTGAAATGTTCGAGTCAATTTATTGTGTTCAACAATAAAACAATCCAACAGAGTCAAATACAGGGATATTTTATGGATCGTAACGAATTAACGTTTAATTCAATAATAGTGGCGACGAACAACTTGACCCTCTTGAATTTTCGGCAAATGCGAAATTACGGCATAAGGTTATCGCCTTGTTTCTCAATGAGCATGCAGTAATGTCACATTGGTCTCAATGGTTAAAATGTTAGCCGCGACCTCTACTATGGTTTTCTTTTAAAATATATGTAGTTCTTATGGACACACTACCGAATGCTTTGTTTAAATGATACCTCATGACAGAAATATTAAAGCTTTGATTTGGTACTGGATGTTGGCTCACTTTTAGCGCGTAATGTTCAAATGTAATTTTATAAATGTATGCTGACGGTACTCAACGGGTCGACTGTACCATTATTTATAAAATTAAAATTTAATATCGAAATTCTAAACTTAACGAGAACGTCTTTCTAAGTAGTGATCACTTCATAATCGTTTGGAAAGTACATATCAACATTTTATATCTACAAATGTGATGTTATTCTTGACGCAGGTTTTATTATATTGGTAAAAATTAAATAGGTTATTGAAATGTAATCGAAATAAAAATATAGAAAAATATCTACTGATTTGGAAAAGTTCAATGTAGGCGTTAAAATGTCTTAAGGATAATAATAGTGTAATAATAACGCATACACTCTACAAGGAGTTTAATCATTCGGTTTGGAATATTAAACGAAAGTATTATGGTAATATAAGGGAAGATTCTGTGATATAAGAATAAAAATACAAGATCCTGGAATAAAAAACGATCTCAGATGGTGATTCGGGCGTTTTGAAGAGTTTTAAATTTGTAGGTGTAAGTTTCTTTCTCAAAACTATTGGCAACGAGAAGATTCCCTATACTTACAATGCTACAGTGATTTTGACAGCTCAGCGTTCAAAGGAGTTTTTAAATAATTTTAATAGCGCCTTCAAATTAGATGCTTGTAGAAGCGCTGTAGAGGCGCGTCTGTGGCGCGTTTTTTGGATTGTTTGGATTCTTTTGGAAATTTCTTTTTATTTATAGAATAAGTATCCTTTGCATTTCTTTGCTGTGCCCTTACGTGGTGTCATATACTAAGGACTAATATAATATTTAAGATCTTTGTAAACTTTATATGAAGCAGTAAATCAAATCTTACCTTATCGTTGGCTTACATTATATTATCGCGGCCCAGAACTTAACCGGGCTGATCATGTCACAAGTAGCCGCCATGCTAAACTGTACATGGGATATATTTACCATCATGGTGAAATTAATTACCAATTGGCGTAAGATCTCACCGATTATTTTGTCTTTTTAAATATTAAGTGACGATGGTAAGCTACACGCCCGTCCATAATAGTTGCAGTGCCACTTAGAGCTTTAAATTTAAATTGAATATATGGCTGTATGATAAGTAACCGTATTTTAGTTCCTAAAACCGACGCGACGCTAGGGAAATTTTATCATTGCCAATAGACTAAATTCTTTATTCTTGAAACGAAAACTAACTCCAACGGTAACGTTTACCGTTCCTTTTGTATTGATAACTCTCATTTTGGTTTACGAAAACCGCTTATTATTTCTATATTTTTGAAAGATCTCAATATTAAAATTTAAGATTAGAAATTAGGGTGGTCGTTTCATAGTCATAAAACTTCAGTGTAATTAATAAAAAAATAAGATGTACTTATTCTTAACAGACGTCTAACATTCCACGCGAAAAAAATTAAATACGCCACCGAAATTGAGTACGTATTTATTTATCTTTTTATTTAAAGTTATTAATTATAATCGAGTACGATCGCCGTGGGTACCGCAGCATATCCCAGTGGTTTGTTTGTGACTGTTGAATGTCGTTATACAAACTGTCTTATGTGTAGTGTCCTTAGGAATCTCTTCCATGCACGTGGTACGAGTAATTAGATATAGGACTTGCATTAATTTATCTAAATCGTATTTCTTTTTTAAATGATTTATGAGAACAGAATCCAGAAGCAGTGGTAAAATTCTTAGGCTTTCGATATTGTTCCACATAGGAAATTAAACTATGATTATGGGCCTATATCGCGTATGTTTGTTTTTTCATGCGGTTTTTCCCCTGATACGTGGGTTTGTTTTAAAAAAATAACATGCGATTTAATCATTAATACAAAGATCGAACACTCGGAAAAAATTCCTTCGATCCCGCCGGATACGGTTAAAAAGTCGTTGAAAAACTAAATACAGAGATACGACGCAAGCACATGGAAGCATTCGTGAGGTCCGCTGGTTCGTTCCGTGGTTTGTTTGGTATAGCGTCTGGCAAGTCTGGTATAGCGGTGTGCAAGAAGACGTCGGTTCGATTCCGGCCTGATCGAAGGATTATTTTCCGAGTCTTCGGTCTTTGTATTAATAATTATAATAAACTAGTGGAGTAAATTTCACATAAAAATAATTTAATATCAATTCAATAAAAATTTAAATACGCGATTTAGATCCGAAAAAACAGTTTTACTTCCTAAATATAACATTTTTTGTTTGTTTACAAAGTGATATTCAAAGAATACTTTTTGAGCATTTCACATTGTTACACTTTATTATTTGTATTGTTTAAAATTCTGTCTATTTTGAGAATCTTTATGGAGAGCAATGCTTTGAGGTGTGACACACCGAGACTTCCTCACCTAGCTCTCTTGGATAATCAAAATTAAAAATCCTGACGAGGTTTGGTAAAAATTTAGTGGATAATAAAATATTATTGAAGTTTTGTAGAAAAATAAAATTCCCTACTTGTGTCATATTAATGCAAAATACCCATAATATATACACGAGCCTTGCAAATGAGATTTTGCATCATAAATAATTTAAAAATGAAATGTTTGTTTTGAAATGATATGTTAATGTAGATGAGGGTGCACGATTTTAAACTGCTAACATCAAACACATTCCGTGTATGAATGGCTGTTGAAATTTACTTAAAATTATAATTTCTTATTGTTTTTACACTTTACTGTTTTATAAGTCATTTTTCCTTTTTAATTTATTTGTATCATCAAATTAAGTAAATTTTAATAACCATGAAATGTTGTAAATTGTTTCATATTTACAATATTTCTTTATGTGTAAATTTTAGCGAATTTAAGGACGAAATTGTCGCGGGAATTCAAAATTGAATGTCGGTCAAGTTATTAAAATTATACTGTAAATGCATATTAGAGTATAGATTGGTAGATGCGCTACTTTCCGGAGCTAAAGAGTTCGGAGATATCTGAATCGCATATAAATAATGTTTGTAATTTTGAAATAGATATACTAAATGTTGTTATTTGAAAAGCTGCACTACTTTTGTTTCGGAGTCGAACGTTACCAAACTTATAGCAATATTGAACCTTATAATGTTCCTCTTCTTATTTTAAGAGAATAAATATTTACACTTTACATAGCAATAAATGGTTAAGCGAATTAACAAGTTTGTACGAGTTTTTATCGAAATAGTTTTTATAGTAGTACAGGAATGCACTTTAAAGTAATATTTTGTTTCCTAACTTTCAGAGGTAATATTTATTAATAGAATATATTTGTATGTATGACGTGTATATATAGGAAATGTTGTTAGCGAATTGAACATGAGCAATAGATTCTACGACCCCCGAGTGCAGTTATTCAAATCTTAACATTTGATCAATTGTTGCCACGTCCCTGCAAAAACACGCTACTAGCACAAAATAAAGAATAACAATTATATACATATATATACGAATTATGTCAGATTTATATTATTTCCTAAGTACTTACCGAGCATGATAAATTTTAAGGATCACGACTAGCACGAAATACTGTGTTGAAATAGATACAATGTAGATTCTTTTTATAATATAAATTACGACCACAGTTTTACATTTAGAGTGCCTCTTGCCTATATAAGACTTATATAAAGGCTGCAGATCACGGAATATACATAGATATGTAGTGAATGATCTATAGAGAAAAAAATGAAAAGAATTTTATGGTGAAAATTGTAAGTTGCGTTATGATATGTGACTTGCTAATTATCATTTCTGCCATTTATATTTGCAGCATTTCAGAAAGAGGCGTTAATTAGATATTTATGTCTATTTCTTTTTAAAATATCGGGATATACTATAAGGTAGTGTTGCCATTTGTATAGTAACTGAGAATACAGAAGCTAGTAACATCATCAATTCTGACAAAAAGTATGCTTGTATTCATGAAAAAGAAGTACAGCCTTGTGACTATTTGATGCTTTAAACTAATCTAAACGATCAAACTGTCCCAAAAAATCTGCACATTTGACAGATGTCAACATTATCTCTATGACTTTAACTTGCATTTTTCGATGCTTTAGACGATTGTTAGTTTTGTCACAAGTGCATCATAGCATTATTTGATAAGATTGATTTTTATCAAATATGCAGATACTTTTGACTGATTCGAGTCTTTACATCATTTTTATGCTTTCTTTTCCGAAGTAAGGAAATATAATTTTATGAATTCTTTCCATAAAATAATGGACTTTTTATACAACGGACAACAACATAGATGTATTTGTTTTTTTAGTTGTGGTAGATATGAGAAACCTCCGTAGTTAGCGCATTCCAATCTTGTGGTGTAATCGAATTCCGACATACCGAAGAACCAGTGCAAAATAGTTTTCATGACCAATGTTACAATAATCTTATTTTGTATAGTCTTAGGTAGTACGATTAGGTTTCGTCCACACGGAGCAAAAAGCGAAAAATGGATGGTTAACTAAACGCTGGTCAGTTTTAGTAATTTAACTAACCATTTCGACTCATACGAAGAACAGAGTCCGATGTGATTATATAGCGAAAAGATAATAAGTACGTTACGAGAATATAGTATCGTTATTCAAACTAAGGCCTATCTAAACGTG